CCGGGCTACTCGAAAACTTCGGTTCCCAAGCCCGTCAATCCCCGTGAATCCCCGTGAATCGCCGTTGCGATCAGAGAGCTGGGGACTCTGCAGCTACTAGAGATTTCGCAACTATTTAATTTCTTCCGTTCAGCGTACCGTGGCTTCCTTCTCCGCACTGCCGGCTGCAATCAAGTTCTTTAGTTGCGGCGCTCTGTCCTGTGTTCGTGGCGGATAAGGCCTTACCTTGCGGACCACAGAGTTACTCTTTTTGGATCTTTTAGGCTTTTTCATACATGTGGTCATACAGATACGTTATTTGATACTTTCGGTGTGTATATGCACAAAGGTTCTCCAGTCCTTGGCACGCAAAGTACTACCTTTTTGATGTGATGGGCGCTTACATTAGGCCCTCTCCTAGCGGGGTGCTTCACCATGATAGGTCTATCGAGAGTGACTGTTATACGCCCCCCTGGATGAGATCCTCAATTCTTTGTGCTCTTGATAGTAGAAGATCTCTTATATTTGTTTCAAATATGAATTCGTCGTGTATATAAGAAATGAAGCGTCAACTGAAAAGCCCGGAAGCACTGGACAGCTGTTTCGACCTGGTTGGGTCTTATATTTGTGTTTGGAAACTCCACTAAGAGAGGCCTTGGACCACGTGAGCTTTCCTCATTTCGCAGTTCAATTCTATGAAACTTAGTGTTTGGGGTGTTTGGGGCAAATCTACTAGCCTTACAATGTTTTGCAAATGGCGATGCTTAGATTCTAGCACTTGGCTTTGCCACGTCAATAACTGGCTCCACGCAATTATACAGTAGCAGGTTCTTATTACTTCCTAAAGAAACTTCGCTACAATTTTTCAGTAACTGAGGTTGTCTATCCAACTGCTCAATTCGTTGTAAACTTTCCCGGTAGTTGGGCCAAATCTCCGGTTTAACCACTGTCATCGTAACCTTTAAAGGCCTCATGGTCTGTGGTTCAACACTACTGTTTCAGTTTTCTACTTCTATTATTTGTGCGCTTTTATTTGGGAATGACACAAAGGTAACCCCTTCAGGTTTTATTTGTTTTCCTTACCTCGATGAGCCACTGCTGTCTTCCGAATTCGCCTGAACTCCTCGGCTAGTGTTGCGCAGTGTTTACAAACCCACCTAAGGACTTGTGTTCCATGTGGAATTGATACGTCTTTTTGCTCATTTGAGAGCATCGCTGGTGTTACCACACTCCACAGATATCGCATTGAGTCCCCTGGGTGACATGCTCTCAGCAATAATTGACCTCACACGCGTTGGAACCTTTTTTGTGTCATTTCAAGTTAAACAACAGTGTCTAAATAAACAATTCTCTCACTCTGTAAAATTAGACACGAGGTGATACAAAAACGTAAAAAATACGCTTTACCAAACGCAAAAATAAAATGCTTTAAACCTGCAAAATACTGAAGTGCACGTAGAAAAATTGTCAAGTAAATGATTTGTGATCTTTGACAGATCACGAGCGATACTGGTAAACGAAAACTTCTACAAGAGTTGTTGGAGTGAAATACCTCTTGATATTTCACTAGAACCGTACAAAATGTGTAAACCAGATAGAGCGCAGTAGAAACGGTTCAGTTTTGTGTACAGAGGACAATGTGTGGCCCGGGCTAATCGTACATCCAGTTGGATGTGTTGTTGGCTGATCTTGTGTCTTCCAACACTGTTAGTCAATAGGTTTTTTCTGAAAGGCAGAATGTGAGGTGCAGTATCACATCCTAGACAATGGAGCTCAGGGCTAATCGGTACTTTACTTTAAACTGTTTCGGGGAATATAAACGCCCAACATTCTTCTAAGGCCCTCTTAAAGGTAATGACATTTTGGAGAAACTTACCACATCCTCGATAAGACTATTTCAATAAAAAATTACGCGACTTTTAAAGAACTTGGCTCGGATGTCCAACCATACAAAACTACGTTGCAGCCCTAAACTAACCCCCTAGTGCCAGTTGAAGAGACAAATGGAAACGTATCATCAAACTTGAGTCCGGAAGGACCGTTAATGATCTTAAAGACTTCTATGAGATCCCCCTTGATTTTCCTTCTTACCAACGAGAACAGATTAAGGTCCTTGAGCCTATGCTTATAGCTCTTACCTCTCTGACATACCATCATCCCTGTTGCCAGGTGCTACACTCTCTCTAGACATTCGATGTCCTTCCGAAAGTAGGGTGCCCATGCTTGAATACAATATTCCAAAAGTGGCCTAAGAATGGCCTTGTACAGAGGTACGTGAACCTCGGGTCTCCTATAAGTACTTGTGGAGTGTAAACGAAAGAGTTCCCTTCGACCTATGTTGGCTGCTCTCTGACATCGTTGAGATAGTTTGAAGAAGTACGGTATATTGACTCCCAGGTCCGTAATTTCTCTCTCTCTTGATCTAGATTTTATTTTGAACGTCAGGTTAGAGGCTGACATTTCGCTAGGTTGAGATAAAGATCCCACTTTACGGACTAGCGTATAACGGCCTGCAGGTCCTGATGTACATTCACTCTGGCTACCTTTAAGTCGTCCGCGAAAATGAAGCACGGTTTGTTGATTTCCCTTTGCAGGTCATTGGCAAATATCGGGAATAGCAGCGGGCCTAGCACAGAATCCTGAGGGACACCGCTACTCATGTTTGCTGGCACCTATAAGTGTTTACCAACCTTGATCTGTAAGGCGCGGTTAGTTATAAAGCAGTTTGCCCACTTTCTAAATTTCCGCCCAATTCCGAAAAAATTGCACGTTTTTGGTTTTACAGAGTCAAAAGCTTTGCTAAAGTTCAGGTAACAGACCATGACATTCTGTCCCTTATCTAAGCGTCGTGTGACTTCACAGAGGAAGGCAAGCAGATTCGATACACAAGACTTCCTCTTAATAAAGCCATGTTGAGCTGGTGTGAGCAGCTGATGCTCTACTAGGTACGCAGCCATATGCTTGGGTACAATCCTTTATAGGCATTTTCATAGGACTAAATGATATGTATTTTTCGGCTTTTGCCTTGATCCAAATTTATGCAGAGCAACTACCGTTTCTCTTTTTCAATCTCCCGGTATCTAAAGTTCATTTAGAGATGTCTAAAACAGCTTTGACAGAAGCCCTTGGAGTATCCCCGCAAGAGGTTTAATAACAGCGGAATGGATAATACCCGTTTCCGCTCCCTTGAACTTGTTCAGAGATGCTAACTCGTGAAGCACTTCGTCTGGTGTCACAGTTATTTCGGACAACTGTGATGCCACATTGGGATAATCAAATCTATCTGTCATAACTAACGGTGCTGGCTGTCTATACATTCCCTTAAGAAAAGCCTGAAATGTATGATATTTGTCTTCCTCACTTAAGGCAAGACGTCCGTCTGTGCGTTTTAATGTTCCAATTCCCTCTCTTGATGCCTTTTTAGATTGGATGTGAGCATAGAACCTCTTTGGGTTATGTCTTTCTTTTATCGCAATTTCATGCTCATAGTCGTACCTGGCCCTTTGTTGCATAGCCTGCGCATTATTTCTTGCTGTTTTGTAGCTACACCATGCCTGATACGAATTGAGCCTTTTGTAAAGTGCCGAGTTTCCACCCTTTGTGGCCAGAGCCCTGTCTAAAAATGGTTTCCACCATGGTGGCCGTTGTCTGAGTCATTCGGACTTCAGGATTGCAGACTACTCTGCGAGCCTAAGTAAACCATCTTTAATTGCAGGCCATCTCTCTTCGATGGTAGGCTCCGCTATTGACGGTTCCCAGCTTACACCTAACACTGCCGCTTGGAGACTCTCTTCTTGTATACACCCCCATCCAACCGGACTATTTTGATCCCTGGCTTAGTGTACTGCATCAGTATGTTTGACTGAAGGACAGTCTGGTCGCTTCTGCCCATAGCAACCTCCATCATGAGACTAACGATATCTGACCTTGCTCTATAATACTGTAGCTTACCACTGCCAACATGGCAACGGAATTACCTTGGTAATTAAAAACTTTGCCCTCATTAGCAACCTAGATTAGCTTCCCTGCAAACGTAGTATATGTCCCCGCGTACTTCTATGAGGGACCCAGGAGAACAGATCGTCAAACATGAGGCCTGATGCAGTCTTGACGATCTTAAATGTTTTGATTAAGTCTTCTGTCATCCGCCTACGTTTAAGGGAAAACAGATTTAAATCTGTGAGCCGCTGTTCATATCTTTCCTTCCGTTGCCCAGCTATCATCCTCGTGGCTAGATGTTGAACACCCTTCATGGTATCGGTGTCCTTGAGTAAAAGCGGAGCCCAAGCCTTCCCACAATATTCTATTCCAATATTTCAGGTCAGGTCACTTCAGGTTGCAAATCAGGGCATTCCAGGTTTTACAAGACTCAGCACGGACACGGCCAATCGAGCTTCCAGAATTTCTTCAATGGTATACTCACTACCTAGGCACTCAGCTGTGCTGAAATAAGAATGAGAAATAGGAACTCATTTCGCGAATTCGGATAGTGAAATTTTAGAAGTGAGCGTTCCATTACGTGCACCAGTTAAAAATGGAAATGGCATCGTTGCACGCCTACACTCGTCCACACTGTCAGAGATGGGAATAGTTCCGCCCTACGCTTATCAAGTGCAGTGCAGTGCAGGCCTGCATTGTTTGGAGGTTGACTATTTTATTTCGAAGCTGGTTCAAGCAATCGACTATCCCATCGGTTCCGCATTTTTAGCCGACACCTCCGCTTCATGAGTTCGAACTCATGAAGCGGAGGTG